GCAATCGCCGAGGACCTGGATTTGAGACGTTATTGTTCCGCCAACAGTAACGAGTCTCGGATTTGAATTCATTGTTTCAAAGAGCCAGTTACAGCGGCTTTTCACGAACGATATATTATCTGTTATTATTGCAGTCCCACTCGAAGCCACAATGGTCGGCTTTGCGCTCTGATCTCCATATTTTAATTAAAAGCTCTCGACGTTAGATACGTATGTCTCGCTAGTCTAGAAGTCAATTCGGCGATATCGTCACATTCATAATACAGGTGTACGTTGGCGAAAATACATATCGCCAGCGAGCAATCTTCCTTAACGTACACACGTGACGCATACATACGTGTATAACTTAATAAAATAATTCTTTTATCATTAAACAAACGTAATATAATATGCGATTATTAAAAAGAACTACCGGTATTACATTCACATCTTCGTATAAAAATGTAACGTTATTTCATACCGTTAATTTACACGGTGATTATTCGATGGTCATTTGCTAATGTATCTGTTCCTTGTCTAAACAAACGAATTTAACTAGACGCGTCTCTTTTCTACCGTCCCCGAAGGACATTAACTCTGTCATGCAGTCACGTCCCTGGCTCGCGGCTAAAGAGAGCAATTTGTCTGTCCATTATCGCGCGACGCAACACAAAGGCGGAAGCAGCCAACTTTGATATTGGGCACGCGATGGTCTGTAGTATAATCGAGTGTAAATATATATATATATATATATATATATATATATATATATATATATATCGAGAAAGAGAGAGAGAGAGAGAGAGAGAGAGAGAGAGAGAGAGTAAAAAAAGTGGAAATAAAAAGGTGAATGGAGAGAAAATGGAGGAAAAAGATAGCGCGTAAAGGAGATAAGCGCGCGTAGTATGGGTGGAGAGATCGTAGACGGGAACAACGTCGGAGAGGATTATTTTTGGTGCGAATGCGGTCGAACCTCAACGTTCGGGAATAGTAGCGCGGCGGTTTATTCCCGTTGTAAAATGCAGCGGGAATGCGTTTTCTCCTCTCCCTCTCTCTCTTCTCTCTCTCTCTCTCTCTCTCCCTCTCGATGGCGGGTCGTAAGACTGCATATACCGCGACCGCGCCGATGGGCGAAACGGTTCCGACGAGATGTCGGGGGTTGGAAAGAGGCGCGACGCGGCATATGGCGGTGTTGTACGATGCCGCACCAATCGTACATCACAACAACGTGATTCCCATGCATACTGCTCGCAATCTCGCCGAGTCCCGGGGATGCATATGCATAGACGCGTGACCCCTTGGGGTCGCGTCGCGTGCATACCCCCCCCCGTTTCCCCCGGGAGGGGACACGTGTGTGAATTTCGCTGTCCGGACGCACATGTGCGTCTCCCGCCTTCGCTAATCTCTCAAATCCCATTCGAGGTCGCGCTCCGTCTGCACGTCTCATTCGAAGGATTGAAGGGAAAAGGGTTGAAAAGATCGCTGCCGAGTCTCCCTTGCGTCCTATATTTTGTCGAAATTAATTCAAATTGATATGTTTATCCAGATATAACTGTATCTTTACCAGATATAACTGACCTTTGGATTTAATTTATTAAAGCAATATGCTCAAAGTTTTCTCCTTGATCTTATATAAGAACAAGTCTGTAATGGACTTTCAAAATTTTCGAAGAAATTATCTTGCATAAAAGAGATAAGTTTAATTAATCATTTCGCCAACTATAATACTAATTAAAATTAAGTAACGTGTATATACATTATGTAAAGTATACAGTACAATTTAGATATAATTTTGAACATGGATACTTTCTCTGTCTACTCGATCGCGTTCTACGCGGCTCTTTTTAATCGCATTAACATTTCAATGATTTCTGATACGTGTTTACGCGAGTAATATATATGTATACGGGAAAAAGTTGAAAGTTAGATGCGTAAACTTAAGATTGGTAGCTTGCCGTGGTTTCCCTATAGGAATTCCAGAGTTTTATGCCAAACTTTCCGATTCCATTTGATTTCGCTCGCACGACATATCTTTTCGTTTTTCCGGTTTCTCTTGCGCCCCGTATTGAGCTTCGTATATCCTTCGTGGTAATTTCGTTTAGCGTGTCGCAAAGGTATTCTCAGTAAACCACGTATCAACGATGGGTCTCGTGTTCAAAGTGTCTGCTTGTAATTGCACGCGGCCGTTTGTGGGTGCACAAGGGACATACGCGCGCCCTCGGGACACGAAATATATAGAGGACACCCAGTCGAAACATTCGTGAAATGCAACGTTAATCTCATCGCTTAATTACGTCGTATGATGCAAATTATCTAAACTCATTTATCGAGGAAAAAAGTTTAAACCGTAAGAAAAATGTTTCCAGGTAGATTTTTATTTCAAGTTTTTTTTACAAAGTTTTTTTTATAAAGTATTTCCATAGCATAGTTCGTTCTAGGCGATGTAGTATCCGAAAGTTTTTTTAGATTCACATTTGTACACTTTTGTTATTACGTAAAAATTACACTTACGTTATTACATAAACATTTCAAAATTTTCCGAATTTATTTTGTGAGCAGACTGACATTGTCCATAATAAAATGAAAAATATAATACGTTGTTTTCGTTACTAATTATATACATTCTGTGATTAAAATTCGAATCTACTTCTATGTTAAAGTGCCGTGAAACAAACATTGTAATTACGTCTGGAAACAGAGTTCTCCGTAGCTGCGGATAAATATACGGCAATATTCTCTATTTGTTCGTAATGCATTTATTTTTACATTCAAGTCTTGTGATTTATATCAACCTTCCGGTTAACTGTACTTATATAACTTAAACTACAAAGCTTTTACGTGCCAACACGTATTTTCCGTGAATACTGTTGATATTGTAATTATTGCTACTATATTTTTTATGAGCAAAACGTATGTACAAAGCGCCGAGAGAAAAATTGTGACGCAACGGTTATTAAAAAATATCGGGAATGTTTGTGAACTGTGTAAACTAAAGGTATTCAAATATTTTTCACGCTTTGACTCAGATAGATTTCTTTTCCTTCGCGAGCTCGCTTTTCTATCGACGTGGTATGTGGGGTTAAAAGCAGCGAGAGAGAATTCGCCACGAATATCTCTTTGTACATCCCATAAAAACAACGTGGAGAAAGAGCAAAGAACGTAGGGTGACGTCGCACGCGAAAGAAAGCAACTCTCAAAGGACGTGCGCTACAAGTCACAGCCTCAAAGGATATATCCAGAGCATACCGACCGCAAGGGAGACACAGGCTGGTAACTCGATAAATAAAGAAGCAAAAATGGATAAATCGGAGCGCGAGTCGGACAAACGACTCCGGTTTTCATCATCCAAAAAAGAGGAGGGAAAAAAAATAAAATTTCTCACTAAGCTTTTCGTGCCTGGTTGTGTTTCCATCCACTCTAACGGGTTGATTTTTTTGTTTGGTCCCAATGGACGTTCCGAGTTTCATACTGGGAAAAAGATAGAAAAGCGGTCAGTAATGACATGGGACACAATAACAGATAGTTAACACATAGATGCGTCGGCTGCGAGCGGGTTTGTCCTATAACGATGCACGAGCGTTGTCGGTCGCGATCAGATTGAATAGCGGCGACAAGGTCGGGACGTTGAATGGTAGCGCGGAGAAGAAAGGAGATGCCCACAAGAGATGCAAGCAGGACCCCTCGGTTGCTTCATTTGAGTGCAAATGGAGTTTTTCCTAAATGGACGTTGCAAAAGTTTGCCGCTGTCAGGCATTGTTTGGTCGGTAGCGACAGAACGGGAGGAGGAGGACGCGAGGGTAGCAGTCGGAATCAGTCCGCCAAGGCTTTGATTAGCTGGCGCCACGAAGCGAAGGTTTTCATCCCCCGATTGTTGGCCTGGTATTTATAGTTGATTCCTGCTCTCATTCCCCTCGCGGCAATTGTCGCTCCGTTGTTTCTCGTCTTCGTATCTTCTTCATCTTATTTTTCTTTCATTTCTTTTTTCCCCTCTTTGCTCATCGCGGCGTGACATTGCTCCTCGCGCGAGAAACGTAATAAAAAAGCGTACACCATCTTACTGTATATATATTCCACACCATCGTCTTACGATTCCATTAAAAAACTCGTTGATAATCTAAGCAACTTTAAAAAAAAAATTGTCCCTTCCGTCGTCTCCTTTATTTTTCTGTCTTTCAGTTTTGCAAGTCCTTCCGCCTTATTTCTCCCTTGTTTGCATCGAGGCGTGAATCGCTGTGTTGGTTCGACTACGTTGATTGTAGATAGGTCACGCCGCGCCGTTTGCTTGCTGCAGCTCTTATCTTTGTAACACCACACTTAAGACGATAGGTACAATTAATCGCGCACTTATCATCTATATTGCGTGTTACCTATTTAGAGGAAAATTGCTGAGTAAAGAGATCTGACTGCATGATATTTGAGGAAGATAACAATTTCGTGCTTAATAGCTTTACGATATACAAGAATTATTACTAGGCGATTATTCGCTTTCCATTTGCCTACAATCGAAAATAGAGATCTCGTATCGAAAATTCCTAAACGAGAGGTAAAACTCCCGCAGCTCAATTGGACGTTACGTGATCGAGAAACGAGCGACGGGCACTAAAAGGAAAAGCAACGATTTCCCGTTGCTTTACGATAGTAATTAAGCTTGACTTCGCTTCGGAAACCGCAACTAATGCTTGCCTCTATTCGATCCCGAAGCCTCATTTGCTCGCACATCCAATGACGTCGTGTTACTTTGATCTCGGATCGAGCACTTAGTGAGATCGCTCGATCTATGATCGTTAACATTTATTTATCGTCCATTCCTGGAATGCGCTAACTGAAAACACTTATGGCATTTTTATTACATTTATTATTATTCGACCTAAAGCATAATGTGTTTGCGCTTCCTGATCATTTGTCTATATTATCCAAATTCTGCCATCTATTGAACGAGAAAAAAAATTAAATCTAAATCAAATTCTGTTTATTAAAATATACATCTGGAATTAATTGTATTATATCGATTTTTGTCGCAGTGCCGAAGGTGGAAATAGTCGATGAGCATGGTGCTACAGCTGCCGATAAGTTCTACAAAGCAGGTAGCACAATAGAGCTGAAGTGTGTAGTCAGCAATATACCGCAACCCACCGGCTATGTCACGTGGCGGCACGGATCTCGTACGTTGAATTACGACACGACTCGTGGTGGCATCAGGTAAGCTATAGACGATGCGATTATCTAATACCGCGAGATTTTAAGCAATGCGAAAGCTGATACACGATACGTTAATTGATACCGAAGAGAGCTTTCGTGTTTAATTCATATTCCTCGTTACACAGCATCATCTTGAGCGCGACGTAACGAGGAATATAATACTTACTGCTTAAATACAGTTGATTAACATTCATCTGATAATTTTGGTCGTCGAGGACTCGGATGGTTTATGCAAACTGCATAGACACCCTAATTGCTTCGATAAAGAATACGTTCGGTGAATTTTGAAAGGTTTTTATTAAAATTCTCGGGACATCGGTCAACAGTTGCGGCGATGCTGTGTGACCTAATTGGTTATAGGTAAATGTGACGGTGTTCGTGAATCTCAAGTATCGTTTCGGATATCATTTGATTTTGTCGGTTTTTTATAGAATGATTTTCCAATCAAGCAACCCATTGATATAAAGTAATTTTATATTTTTTTTGGATTTTTATCATATATTTTTTTGTTTTACTATTTGAAATACGCGTGTTTTGTTCGTTTTTACCGTGATCGGTTATTTTACTTCATATACTTGACAGTTTTCACAATATTCCAAATAATAGCGGTGCTTGAAAAATCTGCGGGAAATTAGCAATATCGAGAACGATATTGAGGTTGAGAGAAAGGATGCGGCGAGGTATCAGCTGAACTGTTGACAATTTAATCACCCTCGAAAATGCTCGATTATAGTGGTCCGACACATGATGAACGAGCGTGCTGCTGATGCCAAGCGCAGGCAACCAGGGCTCTAAATAAAACGTAAAAAACTTTCAATGATCGGATTGCAGGTATACGATTAAAGACCGATTAGTACGGATTACCTACGGAATTATTTCGGAGCATATTAACGCTCTATTTTGTTGCAAGAAAAATCGATAACGACTGCTAATTAAGTATATCAATAGCATATTTATTTTCTTAAGTTATTCATTGGGAATATAAACCGTTTAATTAACGTCCTATCATTTTTGATACGAAATTTCAATTTTCTCGTAAAACTCCCTCTTATTTGCAAATACATAACACGATTGTTCAAGCAGTATTTTTCATAAATTTTGCATAAAAATACATTTGTGAAGAAAGCTCTCATGTCTATAAATGCTTATAAATGTTAATAGTTGCACGAACTGCGCAACTATTTTTTCAGTTCACTTCGGACCGATATTACATGGGGGTGACATTATGTGGAGAATCAGGGCGGCATACAGGATACGTGCGCGATTTATTGAGAATTTCTATTACACTTTGATTGCTCCCGCGAGGCGTCTTGCCGAGATCGTTTAACTGAACACGTCAAACACAGCGTTGCGAATAAACGACGTTCGATCGCGCTACCCTTGTCCGTCGTGTGATTTACTGGTTCACCGAATTCTCTCACACCGCTATGCACTGCCTCTTTTTTCACTTGATGAACTATTCTGAAAAGGCTGTATTATTGCATTTTGTAAATTATCCTCGTTGAATCCTGGCAACATAGTTTTTTTTCGTACGCGTTTTTTTATATTACACAGCCGAAAAAATTCAATCTTCACGTGCAATATATTCTTGATTATTGGTCCAATTTACTGCAAAATATTTCCCGAGTAAAGTTTTTCCCTCACGATTACAGAGAGATTATAGTATAAGCTGATAATGAGCATGTAACACGTATTATTTTCTTATCTTGACCAATTCTATGAATAATGTATTTCTATCTACTTGTTGATGACTGTTGTTGAAAACTCGCTAGCTTCATGTTAAACGACTAAGGATGCAAGGTTGATATAGTAGGCAGAGAAGTTAGTTAGCAGTATAACATTATTATACTCTCCAGCACGCGGTATTACACTTCACTATCTCTAGTACCTCGTATATAGTTCGCCGACCCTCTGTCTATTACTCTTCACCTTGGGCGAAGACTAACCCTTAAGTTGGTCAAGTCCGTGAGTGCATGCCTCGAGCATGCATGGCGATGTTAGGCTTAACATAATCAAGTAGTTCTGATAATAGGAAAGTCCATGATGATAAAATATCGTCGGACTTTCATTTCACGACACGCAATTAGAAAAGTTTTTAAATCGCCGCAACAAGTTCGTCAACATTTTCTTGCCATAATACTAATATAATTGTAGCTGCATAGCGCAATATATTACTAGCTGCTTAGTTTGTCTGTACGACATATCAATGCAATAAAATAATCCGCGCAGCATTCGCATATATCAGCCTTTAATCCCATATGTGCGAAAGGATCGCAAAGGAATTAATGTGTAACTGACGTAGTCGCAACTGACATCATCTAATATTAGCTTTAACCGTAGCTTACGTGTATTAATTTAGCATCATTTAGCAATTGCAGCTTTGTCCACGCTGACTCAGAATTGACGTCAAAAATATTTGTAGAAATATTGAATCGAGATTAAGCTTCGCGAAATCAATCATCTTCTCGTGTTTGATAAAAATAAGAGGATGATTGAATTTTCGAAAGCTTCTATTGCTAGATTAATGATGTTTGCACGTGAACTTCGAGTTAACACATTAATAAGATCGCTGATAAATATAGTGTGAAATATATTGCGCGGTTGTATACAAGAGTCTCGTATTACGCTGATCGGTGCCCTGATGCTTGCTCGTAACATGCGGGCTGATCCATTACTCGGCAAATCAATTAGGGCACAGGCGCAACCAGCGTCGTAGCGCGGGAAAAAAAAGCGTGACGAAAACAAAGCATTTAATCGGATTTTGTTTTATCGGCTGTACACGCTGAACCCACGGCGGCAAATATTTCATGGCAACAAGGGGGACATGCTTCTTTTTTTATATCAGTGTCCGCGATAAAATAGGTCCCATATTTCAAAATTCTATTCCGGTCACGGGATTTTTGTTATCCTCTTTCCGTCGAATGTCGACGTTATTACTAGGCCTTCTGCGCGATATCTGAAGGATTTAAAGAAAAAGCAAGAGCCAACCATATCCATATTTATGTAATATTTGTGTTGGAAATGTTTCGATTTATAAAAATGTTTAAAAAAAAAAGTAGCAGCCTTGATTAGAATTTTCCTACAAGCTTAATGTGGTGTGATATAATTCACATGTAAGGTGAATTGAAAAATAGAGAATTGTATTGTAATATAATCGTTTATTTCCCGAAAAATTGAATAAGAGTGAAATGAAAGAGATGCACGTACGGACCGATGCTCTGGTCAAAAGTTTGTCGCCGTAAACTTTTATGAAACTTACGAGATGACTTCTTCATGGCCTTTCTTTAGAGTGGTTCACTGTATATGCATCGCGCGAGATGCTGCGGTTTTACAGCGAAACAAAGGGAGGGAGTGACTGTATAGAATACGTTATAAATAAATGCCACACATCTATGTGCGTATATGTGTGTTCGCAAAGTTTTTTTTTTCCCGTTGTCGTCCAATGGCGCGATTTAACTTTTAAATTGCCCCTATTTTCCGCGATCCTATATTTCGCGTTACGTTCGAAAATACAAGAAGAATTTCTTGGAAAATGAAAATAAATCTTACGCATATTCGAATTTATTGATCGTCAAACTATGGAAGAATGATGATGAAAAAAGTTACAAACTATCGGCCAATGACGATTGCACGTGTGCATTTCTTTCTCATTTTCTATTTTATGCGATATTTTTCCTAAAGCAGCTTGGACTTTTTTTTATGCATATCGCGTGCGATATGCATATTCGTTTTGAATATAGTATTCAATATATGAAAAAATTGATCGCGTGACCGTGCCTAAAAAGAAAATGAATTTATCGCGTTGTTAGTGGCGACGCCTCCGTCCCCAGGTGATAATTACGGTCACGCGAAACTTTTCCATAATTTTATAAAACTTTTCTACAAAGTACGATTAAAGAGGAACAGGCGCTTTCCTAAAGTCAGAACCGCTTCTCATTAAGAACGGTGTTTATTGGAATTGTTATGCATCCTCCTTTGCATTTTTATGGATAATCTTGGCAGTAACATCGTTCCTAGGTCTGTTCCTCTTACTTCTTAACGTGCGTTATCATATCCTCACGTTAGCAGATCATTCCCAGCGCAATGAGCCATTAATGAAAACACGAATGAATATTCATAGCGCTCGTAAATGTTATAATCTTATATTTCGAATAAAAAAAAAATAAAAAAAACGTTACTCTGTTAATATTTTTGCATTTTGCATGAAAACAGCTGATGTAAATGCCTGGGCGAATCTCATTTAGACGATCGTCTGGTAATAAAAAAGTACCTGGATGAAACTCATTTAGACGACCGTCTAGTAATAAAATAATCAAGCGCGTAATAAATTTAATCCACGTATGTGAGTAATTACGTATATAACGCGATATATTACGTACTGCACGATGCATGAATATCGAATAGATAACGAAAACCTTCATAACATCAGTTAATTTATGATGGACATAATGCATATGTAGTAATATGCAAATTCACTACGTGAGTATAGATTTAAATAGTTTTGAGTGAGAGGACATAATATTAAATGTACGCCACGTTACTTTATCATGTTATCGAATGATTTCCTTTTTACGCTCTTTAGATATTCGCTTTAGAATAAATTAAACCCAAAGGTTTCTATATTAATTTTTCTTATAAGAAAACTTATCTAATTTTATAGGTATTAATAAATAACATAGTCAATTAAACTTAATAATCTTTGACTTAATTTATTCAAATTATAAAATTATTTTAATTTAATAATTAAAAATTATGATTCTAGATAACGAAGATCTATTCAAAACTATTCTCAGTGCTTTGACATAAATTAATTAGCAATACGTTTGCAAGAAATGATTTTCAAAAAATATCAGATATATTTTTTATGTCTCTTTTTTCAATTTTGGCACATAAATAATAAAGTATAATACAAATTCTTTTTAATCATTATTTCACAATCAATTTGGGAAATAATCTCAGCCGAGTTTGCAATATTATAATATATTATGCTGAATCAGTTT